TAATCAGCGCATTTCCTTATCCGTGCTTTGAATCGCGGAAAACATCGTGTGTGCACCAGCCCGAGCTTCATTCACGTTTCCATTTAGTTGGCCACTCATAGTACGCCAACTGCATACATATATATATATATATATATACATATATATATATATATATATATATGTATATACATATATACATATATATATATATGCTACTATATCTATTACTTACTACACGCTTCATGCCTATGCGCTGAATTTATGCAATCGCGGACAACAGCGATGGCTACGAACCGATCCCATGCCAGAAACAATTCAGACAAGGCTAAGGCATTGATCAAGTGGTCAGAAGTTTGTCATCGCCGCTTCGGTGGTGATTTTTTTCCGTGCATTATTTATTGGCGCACTTTTGCACCTCTGGTCAGGTAATGGTATTTTTTGGAAGATCTCGCGATGGCAATTCCGCAACGTCAGAGATGATCGTTTCTCGGTCGACTGACGTAGAGTTTCAGAGGGAACTGCTTATAATTGCAGATTCTCAACCGCTGTCGTTTCAAACAAACGACCGAGACGATATCGTCGTACGATAATTCGTCATTATTCAAGCGAAAACAACCCGATAATTCGTAGCAATTCGAAACGAAAGGAAATGAGAAAACGACCAAGGAGGGACGAAAGTCAACGACAACTGCGTTTCAAATAAATTCCGCAACACGGGAACACCACTGCCGTGAGAACCGTCCAATATTTACGACGTAACACTACATCTAATTTTCCCCCTTAATTAGTTAAACAGAGTGAGAGAGGGCGGTGGTATCTTTTTGCTCCAGGCGTGTATCCGCGAATTTATTTTCACAGGGCGTGTGTATCGCGCTTTAATCCGTGAATTTACAACGGCCATACACGGCCGACCGAGAGAGTGGTCGAGGACTTCGCTAAAATCGGCAAACGCGCCCCGGCCTGGCAGAGTGTACACAGAGAGGCATTTACACGGTTGCGTGTAGATTTCACTCGCTTCATCTCTCTCTCTCTCTCTCTCTCTCTCTCTCTCTCTCTCTCTCTCTCTCTCTCTCTCTCTCTCT